GCTCAGGCATGAAAATGTGCCGCTCAAACACTATACTTTTCCGCTCACACTGAAAAAAAATTAGAGGGAACATTGATCTGGGTGCTTTCCTATTGAAGATGGATTGTTCCATCAAAGAATTCCGCTGACTCAAAACTACTTGAGAGCCTCCTTTGTTGCATGTCTAAAATTTGTGGGATCTGTTGTGTGATAACAACATTCCTGATTTGAACCCTTTAGGGATGGACAGTTAAAGTTCCATGCTATGGTCATGGAAGCTGTCTTGCAGCGGGGAAAGTGTATTTTCAGCTCTGCGTTCTTTATGAAATATAAATTCTACTTCTCATGGTGACAAAGTGATCTTGAATGTAAATTTGTAACTCCAAAATTTCATGTCTATATCAATTCCAGGTGAGTTTCAAGAAATTAAGCTGGAGCACTAAGAGACTATTCATTAAAATTATGTGACAGTGATAGGACTTACCAGGATCTAATGCTTTGCAGTCTGTGCCTGTTCTGCAGACTTTGGCTACACTATATGTTGTCTCCATTTCTGAGAGCAGGTGATTATACTGAAAGAAATAAGATTATTCTACCATACAATATAGAAACTGGCTTATGTCTTCTCTAGTTTACAAGTTGACCAACTCGTTCTACTAAAGGATTTTAATGGTAAACATATTATATACCATGAAATTGATAAAAATGGATGATAATGGCACTCCTTAATCATTCAATTTTTATAACAACAACAACAACAACAACAACACCCCCACAGGATAATATTTGGGAAATTAATTTGCTGAAATTAATTATGCTGAATTTGTGATGCAAACAAAATAAATAATGGAATAAAAACCTGTTCATGTGTTACAGAACTTAGTAGTATTCTTTTCACTGTGTCCATCTGGAGAATTACTCATTCATAACATACTTTCTTGTTCCTTTATTATCAAAAGATTATCTATAGCTACTAATGAGTTCACCTCAACTGAATTCTAGCATAATCTTCAATCAGAAACCCAGCAACTCCTCAGTTTTTGCAATATGATAAAAATATAATATCATATAAAATTATCACATTACCAATAGGCCATCAGATTGGCAGCTTTAAATTTTACTTACTGTAAGAACTACTACATTGTTTTTTTATTGCTTTATAATTATTATATAAATTACTTAAAATCTTAGAAACTGGAGTTGTTTATGTGAATCCACTAGAAAGGATCTCAGGCATCAGAGTAATTTGAGGAAGAAGAGGGATGTCATTGACATACTGAATAGGCCCAAGTAACTAAGAATGAGAACAAAGGAATCCATTACATGCAAAAGCAAAATATTACAAACTTCCATTATTATGCAATTCAAGAATTTTATAAAGCACTATAAATAGTATCTCCTTTCAATCTCACCTCCTTCAGCTCTGCTTCAGGTAAGGCTGCCTGCTCAATATCACTTAATTTCTTCAGAATACGTTTTATTTCAAAATCTTTGAAATCAGTGGAATCAAACTGCCGAGCCTTTAATCCATTTTGCAGAGTATGGTTTGACATTGCAAGATTCTTCTCCAACTACAAAGGGAATAGGAAAAAATGAAGATGGATAATAGAACAGGAGTTTTTTGCTCCAAAGTAACAAATATGTTAATTCAAATAATAATCTGGTGTGTACAGGGCTATTAACAGTACTAACACCACAGATCTGTTACTAGCAATTGCAATTACTAACAAACTAGCAATCTATTGCTAGCTATTCATAAAATCCAGATTATTGTTTAGTAATAGACCTGCATAAGAGAATTTAATCTGGCAAATCATAGGAAATGCATGATATAATCAGTGGTGGGTTCCTACCACTGATTACACAAATCGGTAGTGGTTTGACGGCCTGGGTCTCTGGAACTGGCAGCGAACCAGGCCTGCTATGCCCCCGAACCAGTGCCATGGGTGCTGCCATCTTGTTTTTTGCTTCTGCACATGAGCAGAACAACTTTTATTGTACTGTGCATGCACATGCGTGTGTATGCACCAGTGGTGGGTTGCAGGCGGTACGCCCCGGTACGGGCATACCGGAGCCAGCCTGGAGCACCGGATACCATTCTGGTATGGTGCTCTGGAGGGTCCACGCACCCGCCTGAGCTCCTTACCAGCCTTTTAAGTCTTCTGTGCTTCTGCACATGTGCATGGCATGTACAGCGCCTGTGCTCCGCTCCGCTGAGCAGCTGGAATATTGCAGAAGCTCGTGGAGGTGCTAAGATGCATACACATGCTGCATGTGTGTGCATGCGTGCTGCACGCATACATTTGGACGCCGCTGGGCTTGTTCCAACTGTACCAGTTGGAATGGGATCCGAAACCCACCATTGGGTTATAGTTATATATGAAGTACAATTCCAACAACAACAAGTTTTCAGAATCTAGGGGTACTGGGAATAAGTGAAATGTAGCAAGAATGTCTTAGTTTTGGACATTCTGTTCAAATCTTCACCATTCAGTTTTCAGTGATTTACAATGCAATAAAGGAGGGAGGGAGGAGGAGGAGGTGGTGGTGGTGGTGGTTAAGTTAGCAAAAATTGCTTCCAAAAATAATGTCAGAAAAATACAAAATTAAGGGGGGAAAGTGCTTATACATATAGGTCTTAATAAGAAAAACCAGTTGCATTGTAGCTTACAGTACAATAAAGGGTAGTAATAGTAGCAACAGCAATAGCAGTTAGACTTATATACCGCTTCACAGTGTTTTACAGCCCTCTCTAAATGGTTTACAGTGTCGGCATATTGCCTACAACAATCTCGGTCCTCATTTTACTGACCTTGGAAGGATGGGAGGCTAAGTCAACCTTGAGCCAGTGAGACTCAAACTGCCGAACTTCTGACATCCAGCAATCAATAGTCAACAGAAGTAATCTGCAGTACTGCATTCTAACCACCGTGCCACCATAGCTCAATATAATATTGATATATCTTGATGTGCCTCTATATTTGACAGTTGTAATAAATAGAACATAAGCAAAATATTTCACTCTTTTAAGCCTGGAATATTATCTGTTTTCCCTGTTTCTCTTTTGGATTTTCTGCAAGGATTACTTAGCAGTATAGATTTCCCTACCATAATCTTTTTGTTATGTTCAGTAATGTTGACATTGTACGTCCAAAGGGCCTCTGTGTAAGCATTCCACACCACTTCAGCTGTGCTGTTGTACTCTTCTAAGAATGCTTTAGCTTCAGTTTCATCAGTTATTTTATCTGGAAGATAGAAAGATGAATGTGTAAATATACACATATAGAAGTATACATGTGTGTTTAAAAATAAATCACCATCACTTGGAAAAAGAAGTTGAATTTGTTTAATTATTATCAGTATAGGTCTAATTTGTAAAAAAGAGACCACCAAGATCCCAAATTGTATCCAAATTATATTAGTTATGATCAGAGGTGATTTCCAGTGGTTCTCTCCGATTCCGGTGAACCGGTAGCAGCGGCTGCAGGAGGCTCTACCCACCTGCTCCAATGTAATGCACAAGACTGCGCATGCGCAGAAGGTGGTACATGCTCACATTTGTGAACTGGTAGGGAAAGTAAGTGAATTCCTCCTCTGGTTATGTTAGAATCAGAATGATCTCTACCCCGTCAGCTAAGTATGACTGATGCTGCCAGATATCTGAACTGACAAAGGAGATCATGCACAATTGGAAAGGAGGGAAAAGGAGAATACACTAACTGTTCAATTTTCTTGGCAACTATGGCAAAAATTATAGTGAAAAACTGCAGCAAAAAAGGACAGGCCTATATGTATATGAAATTACTTTTTCCAGCATCAGAAAGACTGTTTTTTTCAGTCACAGGATTATGCTAGAAACTTCAGCATATTATTGATGTAAGATATTTTTCCCCAGTTTCGGGAAGTAGCACAGAATATACTAACCAACTAATTAAGGTCACAGAACTTATTATCTGGCCTTAGCACTTATTAGTGAAGGAATATATACTCAGAGACACTCTCTAATATTCTTACCTTATACCACACAAAATATGATTATGTGAAGCATATTCTACAAATGAGCTCTGGAACTTTCATTAGAGGTAAGACAACTCCATTTTCTGACATTTCTCTTTGAGGTATGCGGTGGCACCACTAATTTGAGAAGCTGACCTCACTCAGTGGAAGATTAAAATGAGCACACAGGAAATTTATATTTTAGAAACCATTATTGATCACAGAGAGAGCTGTCTTTCAGGTTATTTGTTGCACAGAGTAACAATGGAAGAGGTCCCAATACAGCTCGTTTGTGCTTTTTTCCCCAAATCAAATGTCATCTTCTATAGCTCCTTAATCAGTTGCCAATACAACAAATGAGCAAATATTTTAAGGAACAATATTATTAGTTTTGAATAATTTCTGTCCCACTTGCAACATTCTCAAGGCCCGACAAATAGCTAGCTCTGGTATCACGGTCATATCTACTTCAGTTCCACTGTTATAGATACATCAAGCATTTAAGTCTCCTGAATTTAAGTCTCATCTCCACACTTCTTTTACATATGCAGTCTCTCATTCTTCCCTATTGCCCTATTCTTCCCATTGTCCATGGAGTCGTGATTAGGTTGGACACAACTTCGCAACTATGATAACTGGATATTCCTGTGGATTATGACAATCAGATTCAATTATCAATTGGTATCTGGAAGTAATGATTATTCTATTTCCCCACCCTCTTTTTTGGAAAGGGGAAACTATTGCAGCTAAAGACTAAGCCTCCCAGTGCAACATTCAATTCAGGAGTGGGTTCCGACAGGCACTACTGCTGGTTCGCTTGTGTGCATGCCACATGTGCACTTGATGCGCACTGTGCATACATGCACAGTACAATTATTGGCAGTGACCCAGGCCTGCTACACTCAGAGAACCTGTTCAGGGACATGGCAGGCTGGGTTGCTGCCGTTTCCAGAGACCCAGGCCACCAAACCAGTACCAGTTTGGCCGAACCGGTCCGAACCAGTAGGAACCCCCACTGATTCAATCTATTCTCTCTGAAATGGGTATCATTTAAGGTTTTATGCATGGAAAACTTTACCAAGGCCTTCTGGATAGCCTTCAGGGACAGGAGGACGCCAATCGAATTCTGGCCAGCCTAGTGTTTCATTGTTCTTCCCATTCTTTTCTTTTAGCCATTCAGTAACGGGTTTGAAGTATTCAAGCAATGCTGAAGCATTCATTTTACTTGTACCAGTGAGTTGTTGGAGAATATCTTGCCAATGCCGGGAAGATCCTGCCTTCATTGCCTCACTGCAGTGAAGATAAAGAAAGAGTAAATAGATAGAACCATTGAGATTAGAAGTGGCACAGTTAAATTGTTCAAATGACCCAGGTGGCATAGCAGAAAGAGGGGTTTTTGGTGGTTTTTTTTACAGGTATTGAATTTGCAATGCTAATTTATCTTCGCAACATCCTGATTTTGACTAAACCATTATGATGATAAAACTGATTAAACAATTGAGATGTTTCTATTTTGACAATATAATTGTCTTTTATAATTCTCACAATCTACAGAAACTCTTCCCCTGGAAATCAGATTGCCAAACCCTAGCATGTTTTTTTTAAAATCCAAAAGATCATCATTGTTAAGGAAAATATTTTTTAGTACTATAATTTGTGTTCAGTTTTGAATGATTGATGTAGAGGACATAAAGAATGGTCTTGAAGGACAGTTGGAAGTTCCATTACTAAGGCAATGACCAGACATGCATTGCTTAAGCCAAGAAATTAATTTAGAAAAATTCTTCGAACAGACCTCTCCTAATTCACACAAGGTTCAAGGGAGGGAGGGAGGGAAGCACATTTAGACTTGCAAGATTAAGTTATAATACCTGTTCTAATAAAAGTAGTTTTAGACCTAAATTGCATTGTTTTCATGATCTGTATATCCTATAGGGCTGACACTTGATAACAAGATTAGGTTAGGGGTTGATAAGGCAATCTACAATGGAGCAGGTTTTTGTCTTAATTTTGGAATTTGAAAATGATCCCTCTTGTCATTTTAGAATAAATGGCAGGAATGGAAAACATTGATACATCCTTAGCTAAAATATGAAGATCTATAATCTTTTAGAAATAAAGTATATTTTTTGTCAGTTGTCTCTCTCCCTTTGCTTTCACCTGAGTTTCTGTCCAGCTGCTGTGGACTTATAGATGTCACATGTATGAAGGTCACCAGTATGGTTGGCAGCTTCGCAAAGGGCCTTGTGGAATTGGAATTGTAGAATAAAACTGACAAAGTACCTGTCCAAAGCAAAAAGTCCATAATTTTTACCAAATATACAATATATAAACACATATTATAATCCTTTTAGATTGAAAATATTCAAATTCTGGAAAATAGAAATAACAAATCAATTACAAATAATATACTCTATTAAAGATGAGATTTAAATTTTTGGAAGTAAGAAAACCTCATATTTGTTTCTATACTTTAATTAACTTAATGGTATAACTATTACTCTTATTTATACTGAATGCAGTTGAAGGATAGATTAAGCATAAAGTAATTTTGCTTAGGAGACCTTGACAATGTGCTCTCAGATACTCAATATATAAGAATTATAACATAAAAATGATAGGAAATGGTCATGCAGAGATATTCTTCAAGAACAGTCAGTCAGATATTCTCAAGCAGAACCTAGAAAGATCGATAGTTGTGCCAAGAGTTTATTATGACTGTACTGGGGGAAAAGATACAGTTTATGATGTAGTTTAGCTGTAGTTCTAGAGTTTCTCTACTTTAAAAGATAAAACTAGTTAGATCTTTTAAAGCTGTTTGCTGAAACTTTCATCTCTACTAAACTCTACTGTGTTCTCAACTTCCTCATGAAAAATCAAAGCATGAATCAGTCTTTCCCAATTCCCAATAAAACTTCCTAAAATTTCATATTTACACCTTTCCTTTTTCCAGCTTCCAATACCTGATATAAGGTGTGTTGGCAGGGATGTGATATTTAGCTCCAGGATCAAAGTTTGTTTCATTTCTTGCAATAGGAGGACAAATTCCTTGATATTTTGTTCTGGGGGGAAAAAAAACACCTTAACCAATGGACAAAAAAGAAATGGACAAAATAAGTACAATCATTTCCCAACAACAAGCAGACTTCAGATTCAAGCAAAGAGGTATATGTAGATATAATGGTAATCATTAAAATATCACAAGAAACAGCTACTTTGCATTCAGTTTTCCCTTTTGCCTTTTCAAATAAAATAATGCTTTCAGTTCATCTATCTTTTCAAATTTTCCTTTTCTTATAGTGTCATATTATTTTGTTGTTGTTAGTTGCAAAGTCATGTCTAACCCATTGTGACCCCATGGACAACATTCCTCCAGGCCTTCCTGTCCTCTGCCATCCCTCAGAGTCCATTTAAGCTCATGCCGACTGTTTCAATGACTCCATCCAGCCACCATATTCTCTGTTGTCCCCTTCTTCTTTTGCCCTCAATCTTTCCCACAATTAGACTCTTCTCCAGTGACTCTGTCCTTCTCATTAGGTGGCCAAAGTATTTCAGTTTCATCTTCAGGATCTGGCCTTCTAAATAACAGTCAGGGTTGATCTCCTCTAGGACTGACCGGTTTGATCACCTTGCAGTCCAAGGGACTCACAGGGTCTTCTCCAGCACCATAGTCCAAAGGCCTCAATTCTTTCGCCCTTAGCCTTCCTTATGGTCCAACTTTCACATTAATACATTGCAACTGGGAAAGCCATAGCCTTGACGATATGAACTTTTGTTGGCAGGTTTTGTTCTATATTCTTAGATATCGAAATTATATTTGTCAGAGGGACATTTGTTGGAGGGATGGATACAGAGGATGGGTGGTTTCAAAAAGGTAAAATAAACAACATTAAATAAAAAATAATAACCATACATAAAGCAACCACCACTAGAGAGTTACATGATGGAGGCTGTAATTCAATATACTTAGAGGGGTCTAGGTTGGAGGATTACATTTGTTAAACCTGCTGCTTTGCTTGCCTCTAACCCATTATGGCAATTTTCTATTTGCCTGGCTGAGGCTGTTTTACCTTAGGTACCACCAATCAAAATTGTAGCGGCTTGGAGGGGTGTGTCCACTGAAAACATCCCACCGCCATTGATCAATTAGATAGCCAAAGGGTAAAAAGGCAATCTTTTCCAGGGCCATTTTCAGAAGATAATTGATATCACTCTCTGCAAGGAATCAAGGAAGACAAAAGTGTGAAACAAACAAAATGTTAAAAAATTATGATATTTATGTAGTTACTTTACAAGCATATCCAAATTATACTAAAGTAACCATAGTATTTTTACAATCCCAAAGCCATGTCACAACTTTTGAGTACCCCAAATGTTTGGAAGCTGAAAGTTGAAAAATTTGACACACTCTAAAAAAGAGTTTCTTTTAAACCCTTATATACCCAGAAGATGGCAAAGAAGTAAGAATAGATTAGCAATCTATATAGATGAATTCTCTGTTGAGAATAAACCAGTGAATTCCCTCTCTTCCAAGCTAAGAGCAGTTGCTTGAAAAGCTTCAGCTGATCCAAACACCTCTGGGAAAGGCACAAACATCTACAAGTATATTTTTCCTTAGGAAAAATAATTTGCTCCAATACACAGAGCAGCAGCAGCAGCTACACCATGAACTCGTCTGTAGCTCTACACTGCATTATTCCAATTCCTCTCAATGTGGACATGTGTGTGTGCGTGCGCACGTGCATAAATGCAAACTCATGTGCACACTTGTTTTCACTGACTTAAAGCAACAAGGATGAGATGGCATATTTTATGATTCAGTACATTTTATTTCTAGGATGAGATCAAAAAAGGTAAATGTTTCCCTGCCAGTCATGTCCAAATCTAGGGCACGGTGCTCATCTGCACGTCTAGGCTGAAGGTGCCAGTGTTGTCTGAAGGCAATTTCTACGGTCTTGTGGACAGCATGGCTATACATCAAAGGCGCATAGAACGCTGTTACCTTCCCATCAAAGTGGTACCTATTAATCTACTCACATTTGCATACTTTCAAACTGATAGGTGGGCAGGCCATAAACCTGATTCCCAATCATTCATAACAATTATTTATCATACCCAGTATGAAAAACATCTCCCATAAACTTTTTTGATTTTCTTCTTCTGTCTTGTCACCAACCATTGTATGCTCATTTACCTCTGTCTTGAGTGACATTGGTGAGCAGCTCAATTTTCTTGAGATGGGCGGGAGTGGAAACAGACAAACTCATGACATCTCCAATGGCTTCATGAAAGCCAGGGTTAGCCCCACTGCGAAAACTTATTGGCTGGTCCTTATACTGCAAGTAGTATTGAATGTGCCCCATTTCATGATGTACTGTAAAGAGTTGTTCCATAGTAACTGTTGTACATTGCTTTATCCTGTAGGACAGGGAACAGGAAAGCGAGGGTTCAGTGAAGACTGTGTCTCAATATACTATCAAAGCATCAATTGTTTTTGGAACCTGGAATATTTGCTGATAGCCTCAGAACAGCTGGAAAAGATCAATTATTCTTGCACCAGAATTAGGCTTTCTATCATTCCTTGAAGAAAATATGTATTTTGAAGAGAATTTAGAACAAATTTAGACGACCCCCTTTCACAACTTACTTCCCTCAGCCATTCATTAAAAAGTTATCAAGTCTAACATCTCACTGAATGAATAGAAAAAAGTGAAAGAGACATGATAATTTTGGCTTTGACTTGACAGTGATTACCTTTGAAAGCATAGGTTTGTGGCAGATTAAGACTAAGGAATTGTATTCCTTCACACAAGCATAATTCTCAACTTTGATAAATTAATCCCTTTTCATGCATTCTTTCTATAAGAGAAAGTAATATAGTCCTAATATCATTTTGCCAAGTATCTTTTCCAGGGGGGGCAGGGTGGAGAAGGAAAAGTATACATGCATTTAAACAGAACAGAAATTGTAGTTTAGGGCAGAGATGGCCTATATTTTGATAGATCAGAATTGTGCTTAGTATTTTTGTTGGGTAAGGTATAATGGGCAAAGCAATGATTAAAAGTGCACAACACTATGCAAATGTTAGGATAGGAGTCTAATTTATTCTACAGTTCTCTTGCAGATAGGATTAAAAGAGCTGCTAAAAAGCAGGGATCCTTGGAGCATATATGTCCTTGGAGTTTTCTGATAAACACTTTAATACAGGGGCATTTAGATCTGGCTGGTGGGGCCACCCTGGAAACAGTGAAGGACCAGCCTGTGGTGTCTCTGCCAGCAAAAACAGAGCTTGGGAGGGCCTCATGTAGCCCTCCCTGGCTCCATTTTCGGCTTCAATGGCCTCCTGAAGTCTCTATCAGTGAAAACGGACTCCATTTTTGCTAGCAAAAGAGCTAGCAAAACAAACTAAAAGCAAAACAAAAGGAGAAATATTCCTCCTTTTGTATTTGAGCATTCAAGAAGGGACAAGAAAGGAGAAAGGGAAAGAGGAAAGACAAGGAAAAAGGAGGAAAGTGGGGAAAGAAAGATGAAATGAGAATGAAGAGGGAAGGAAAAAGTAGAAAAGGAAGGATGAAAGGAAGGAAGGAAGGAAGGAAGGAAGGAAGGAAGGAAGGAAGGAAAGAAGGAAGGAGAGGGAAGGTCTGAGGGAAATCCTGCCTTAGCACTTGGGTACAGGTGTCCCCAACACGAATGACATTGAGCTGGTCCTGTCCACCCCAGCCCCCTGAGGGCAAACACAACCCTGATGCGGCCCTCAATGCGATTGAGTTTGACACCCCTGCTCTAATACATCTTCTAGTTAAATTCGCAGCACCCTAATCATTTCCAAAATTTGGAAAAGGAGATCTTTCACCTAAATGGATGTTATTTTTGTTACCAGCATCAAACCTTGAATATTAGAAAAAAGCATGCATTTTAATAATACTTAAAATGTAAAATGTCTCTATGTCAATAAGATCTAGAGTTCCCTTTGCATGGCAAGTCCCCATCACATGCAGTATGCACCTGAAGTCTTTGCGATTGAAGAAGTCCCATGCCGATGCATGACACACCACCTCCCGCCCATCTGTTGGTTTCTCCAGCATGGATTTCTCCCAGAATTCAGGTGGCATTTCAAACATGCCAAGCGATGTGAAGAACTCCTCCGACACCCGGAACATGTGTGTTGCGTTCCAGTTCTAGGGAAGGCAAGAACCCATCTGAAGCATTAGATAGCACAAAATTGTTGGAAACTGTTCTTAGGGATTGATCCCGGGTCACTCAAGTATTCTCATAATAAATTATACAGGCATGTGTTGCTTGAGCTTTAGAATGTCATGGAGAACTATTGTTTAGGAAAAAAGAGTTACAGAGTAGAACAGAGGAGAAGCATAATTAAGAATTTGAAGGAGACAGCCTACTGGTCTTCTGTACTATGAGATAAGAGTTGCCACATATCTTGAGCCTTGAGGATAAATACTACTATATTTGTCTCTTTTGAATAGTTGTGTCAAGAAATGAAATTAAAGACTGTACCTTCAAGGTGGTTATTAAAGACAAGAACGTGTATGAATATTACTCCAATATAGCGCTTGCATGTAATCTTGGACAGTCCTTCTGAAAATTTAACATGAAATTCGGACCTTGAAATGAACAAACTGGAGCTACAATACACCTGGCAATTATGTTAGAGAAGCAGCATTGAAAAATATCTATAGTACAGAAAGCTGCATTGGAAGAATTCCATGGAGAGCTGTGGTTCATTCATGCACTTCAGTCTCGCCTACCTGGCTTGTCACTTTTTGATGCTATGTTGAGCAGATTAGTATATATTTATTATTCCAATTCTTGCTCAGAGAACAAATAATCATCTCACTGCTGGATGAAAAGGTATCACTAGCAATATTTGTGTATATGGGCATTTTCCGTTTCAGTTCCTGCTAACAGCTGCAGCTAAAGGGAATGGAATAAAACCATAACACTAATGTCCTTACTTTCTGTTTCATGGTATTGGTAACATCTAGATGTGGCTTATTTGCAAAAGGCACCATCATGTCGTAAATGTTGTTCCATTGCTGGGCCCACATGTTACCTGCAGGGGGCAAAGCAGCACTGTTTAGCTGAATAAAACCAACAGCTTGAAGGGAGAAGGAAAGGCTATACATAAAATTAGAGAGAAACTGTTATTTGGCACAGAGACTAGAGGGAAACAGCCAATAGAATAAGAGTCAAAGGAGGCACTATGTTAATTCCATGAATGCATATGACAGTTTGGTTATATAAAAAACAGCCAGAGGGAAGCTTAGCAGCCTCTGGACAAAATGCACAACTAGGAAAAAGATATTCTTCCTCTTGTTACTGTAGTTTCAATGACAAGCATTGAAATTCCAATGCTCATAGGACCTCTTTATTTAGAAACTCTTTACATGGGAACATTGGCATGTAAAACACGTGTCAGTTTCCACAGAGACTGAATAAATATATAATTCAGGCTCCTAGCCTTTCCCCCATATTATTCCAATGCATCTTCTCCATTGGCCATAGTAAGTTTGTGAATCCTAGAAAGGAGATTAAAATATTCATAGAGTAGCATAAATATTCCTTCCTTCCTTCCTTCTGCCTTTATTTTATCTACACAACAACCTTGTTCAGTCACTCATGGCTTAATAATTTGCTGTCTGGATTATTGCAGTGTAGTTTATATGAAAGACTACAAAGAAGTTACAACTGATCCAGAATGCAGCAACACATTTTCTATGATATACCAATACAAGTACTAATGAAGGAGATCAGGATTGACATGAAGGGCCCTTGGTGCTCTCTGAGCTTCCTTGTTTTCTTGCAGCTGCTGCTGATGTTACCTAGTTTTGATAATGAAACATCTGCAAGAAGACAAACAAGCTCAGAGAGCACCAAGGACTGCACCAATGTAAGTGTTCATAGATTCACCCATATTATACCTCTATTGCACACGAGTTGCATTGAAAACTGACATCAATTTCCTTTCAGGTGCAATTCAAGGTGCTTGTTTTAAAAAGCCCTACATGACACAGGACCTGGTTACTTCAAGGACTGCCTCTCTCTAAGAACATCTGTTGATTGAATAAGATAGGATAGGTAAGCTTCAAATCCCTTTGCTAAAATTCTGCCACCAAGTGGGATTTTGGAAACATGCCTTATCCGTAGCTATCCCTAGTTTACGGAACACCTTCCTCAGTAATTTGGCAATCCCTCATCTGTAACCTTTCAGAAGGCCATCAAGAATTGATTTTTTTATGGAGATGTTGGAATAGGATAGAATAGAAAAGAATAGAAAGAATGAAATAAGAATAATTGGAGGTTATCTGGGGAATCCTAAAGGGAGAATTTGTTTTATCATGTTACTATTTCATGTTTTATAATTATTGGTTTTATTCCTTTTGTGAGTCACCCAATTTGTTTAAGATGGGCAGCCATACAAATCTAATAAATCAATTTGTGAATGAGTTGGGCTGAAAGAGGGTGACTGTGAGTCAGTCAGCTTTCCATGGTTAAAAAAGGATTAAAGCTTCTGGCATCACAATTTCTAGTCCAATGCTTTAAGCACTCCACCAGACAGGTTCTTTTACATTTCTTACATTTTAACTTTTCTATTTGTGTTTTTCCTCCCATCAAAACATGGTATTCTTTAAAGAAAGCTTATCATGATTTCTATTATCACCATCTAACATATCAATAGATAATAGGAGTTATGATCTAATCTATTAGGAAGACACTAATTTAGTAAGATTGCTCTCCAATGCCCCAAGATATGTGACTGAAATCCAAGCATTTTGCTGTCAAAATTTGGAAAAATAATTTCAGGTTGCTTTTGTTATTTGAATTTTAAAATAAAAATAAGACTTGTTTCTTCCCAGAGGTCTCTTATTCAAGTCAGCCCACTTCCGTTCCAAAAATTGCCTACCATTACTATAGAATACAGTGGGATATTAAGGATTTTTCCAATGCTTCCCTGCCTGATCCCAACTCTATTAAACACACACAAACTTTTTTTTTACCAAATAAGTGAGCAGGAATAGGGCCTTTCAGGTTTATGTATTTAGAGCCATATTGGTCATATAGTTTCCTTCTGACATATGCGTGGAGATTTAGATAGAGAGGCTCCAATTGGTGATAAAGTTGCTCTAGATCTTCCTTAAATGTTGGTGAATCATACCAGGAGCGCCAATAAGCCCCAGTATCTTGGAATCCTAAATGTAAAAACAATAGAGTATTCAGCATAAATACAGTTCTTACAATACAAACAAGCTCTTTAAATTATCCATAATTACTCTAGAATTACAGAACGTAGTTGTGAACAATCCATCTCCTAGATTTTTCTGCACCATTTATAATGTAATTGAACCAGTCCAATTCTGAAGGCAAAAAATGCCAGTTCTGTATCCAAATACAGTTTTTTTCAAATATTTCTTAATGTATTTATAGTAGGTGTAGGAGAAGGAGTTGCTGAACTGGAGAGAGAGGGGTAAAAAGAGGAAACAGCCTAAATTTCCTACATAGCTATTAATGAACTAAATCGAATGCTGTTGACTGTTTTCTAATTCTAAGCATGTACTTTTAGCAATAATCCAGTTGATGAATAATAATAATAATAATAATAATAATAATAATAATAATAATAATAATAATAATAATAATAATAATAATAATAAT